ACTGAAAGGAATGGTCCATGAAAGAGACTATTTAGGGAGATGTCCTGAAGGACAGACATTTTTGCAGCCCAGTCTCATAGATTTGAAACCAGAAGGGTCTGATACAATAATGTCTCCTTCCCATCTGCTTGTCCAACATTAAATACACACGCCAGAAGTCAGGATTCAGTCAGCCTGTTCCAAAAGGGTGTTGGTAGTTTATTCTAATACATCAGCCAGAGACATTTGGTAGTACAAAGGGCTAATATTTAAAGCAGTTCAGCATGTTCTGTTTGAATTAAGGCTTTCGCAGGAAACCTTTATTTGCAGAAAAAGATCACAATCCTTTTGAGGCAGGCAAGGTGGCTAATGCATCACAACCACCCATGCAAATGTTTGCTTACCATAAAGCACAACTCTAATAGTCTTCCTCTTCAGCCAAGCAGGACCAAGAGCTTAATCCTGCAACTGCATTTATCAGTAAACCCATAGATAGAAGAACAGCCAGCCAAAGGTTACATGGAACCTATGGAAAAAAACTTTTGTTTTTTGTCTTTCTCCCCTAGCAAATTGGAAGATGCTATTTAACAGCAAACCTGCCCTTCCCAGAGACGCAGCACTGATGGGAACTTCACCAGATTGCTGTAGGACGTTGCCACTTCACTCTGATTCTTCAAGCATTAATGTTATTTTTCAGTGCGTAACTTCTTGTTCTTTATAGCTGTCACTGTCAACACGGAAAGCCCAAGGCACAGCCATTTGGCACGCCACCATCAAGTGAGGACATGCAGGCAATTCTGGATCATTCCAGTAGTACAGCTTGTAAGGGCAACGTTCTCAGAAACAAGAAATCATTTTCAGAGCCTGAATTTGAGAGAACTTCACACAGGTGATTTCTTGGTGCTGTAAGAATTCTTCACCTTTCCTGGAACTTCAGCAGGGAGACAGCAAAAAAAACAACCAAACAAACAGAAGCTCTTGTGATCGCTGGACATTGCTGAAATTCTTGGCATAAGTCAGTCATTGAACTTCTCATCCAAGAGATTTTAAAGAGCAGAATCCAAATCTCGGTAACTTCCTCTTACCCTCCAAAAAGCCCCTTCTGTTTTCAGCCACTAAAGCCTAGGTCTGCATACTTTTCAAACCTCACGTAGAGACAGCTTCAGATCTTCAACTCAGTCATTTCTCTTCAAGATATATTTGCATTTGAAACCATTTGCAAATTATCACTGGATACTAACATAAGCTGGATTTTTTTCTCCTACCAATTATTTTTTTTGAAAACCAGGACCTAGAAACATGACTGAAACACAAGGAATTGAGTATGTGTGAGAGGGTTAAGGTAAGGCGCTGCTGGATCCAGTCTTACACTGGAAAAACTTCCACTGGTGAAAACCACTGCAGTACCAGCTACAGTCGGAGCACTTCTGATGGGTTTCACTGCTCCCAGCCTTCTGATTACTCCGTATATTCCCAACCCTCTATATCCACCTCACCTTCCCATACTCAGTCTCTTTGTATCAGCTCCACTTACCGTGAGACATCCCTCCCATACCTATTGCCCTTTCCTGTCCATTCTCTTCAATTTCTCCTGCCATTTGGTTTGTCCCCTCCCTATTATGCCAAATGAAATAAATCCTGCAGTGAACTACCAGTGTTTTCCGCCATGTTATTCTTGTTTCTGCTTTTGCAAAGTATTCCTTCTCCAGCTCTTCATCCATTCACAAAATCACAAAATCACAGAGCGATATGGGGTTGGAAGGGACCTCTGGAGATCATCCAGTCCAACCTCCTGCCAGAGCAGGGCCACCCAGAGCAGGTCCCACAGGAGCGTATCCAGGTGGGTTTGAATGTCTCCAGAGAAGGAGACTCCGCCACCTCCCTGGGCAGCCTCTGCCAGGGCTCTGCCCCCCTCATAGCAAAGAAGTTCCTCCTCGCGTTGAGATCGAACTTCTTGTGTTCCAGGTTGTGCCCATTTCCTCTTGTCCTGTCCCTGGGCACTACTGAAAAAAGACTGGCCCCATCCTCCTGACCCCCACCCTTGAAGTATTTATAGGTGTTGATCAGATCCCCCCTCAGCCTTCTCTTCTCCAGACTAAAAAGACCCAAGTCCCTCAGCCTTTCCCCAGCAGAGAGATGCTCCAGGCCCCTCATCATCTCTGTAGCCTCTGCTGTCCCCTCTCCAGCAGTTCCCTGTCCTTCTGGAACTGGGGAGCCCAGAACTGGTCCCAGTGCTCCAGCTGGGGCCTCCCCAGGGCAGAGCAGAGGGGCAGGATGACCTCCCTCCCTCCACCTGCTGCTCACCCTCTTCCTGATGCCCCCCAGGATTACATTGGGCATTCCTCCTTTAGGGCAGCACTAATACTGTCTCACTGTACCCAACACAAAGAGAAGGTGTTCTAGGTTGGTTTACTATAATAATGAATGTAATAGACTAAAATCACAGTTGTCTTTAGCTCCTAATACCTCACTGTTGTCACTTAGCCAGCTGGTATGGTTCGAGTGGTTAAAGCTGTCCTCTGGAAGTTAAGAAATCCGATTTCGGTGTCCTTCGCAAAGCACAGGGAAGGAAGTTCATGCAAACTTGTGCAGATTGAAATAGTTCTTTTCAAAGTATGTCAGTAAAAATAGATTTCATGCAAGTCTGTAATAAGACAAAGGCTAATTAGCTGCAACCACTTTTTCTTGAGGTCAAGACGAGTTACACCTGGGATGATTTTAGCCTAGAATAGCCACACTTATGGATGTGATTTTTTTTTTTTTTTTTTAAATTCAGGACATCACATCACACCTTCATTTTTACTTGATGCTAAAGTGACAGGGCTAATGAAACAAGTTACTTTGATAGGACACAACCTACTTGAAAATGACACATCCCAGCATCTAGTGCTTGGTATAACACTCAAGATTGCTCTAACTTGTCAATACTTTATCTTTTTTTTCCTCTCCATTTTTCTTTCTCTTTGACCCCGCCAATCTGTGTAGCTGGCAATATTCTGTGGAGCAACAGTCCCATTGTTTCCTTCTCACCATTCCTTGAGAAGATCTCAACCATCTACAGCTGGTCACCAAGCACCGTTTCTAACGATGTTGGATTCCTTCAGAACTTCTTGCAGTTTGCACACCAAAACCCCCAGGTTCTCCTAGTTCTGCAACGGCATCTCTGCTGAGACTCTTTGGGAAGCAGGATCCAGGACGCACAAGATGGGTGACACCTACAGAAGGATACTACACCTACACAAGGACTGACAGTCAGGCATTGCCAAAACCTTGTCCTGGATTCACTGAGGTTTACTGAAGCTGATATGCCTTGAAGAAAAACATTTCAGGTTCGCTGTGTCATCACCACCTTCCTCTGTCATTTTACTTAGAAAATATCCACCTATTTCTGGAAGTAACCTCCCAAAGCAGAAGTCTTAGCAGCTTAAATAGGACTTCAGCTTCTAACTCTCAAAGACTCTTTGAGAAACTATCCACAGCACCAGTAATTACTTTCAGCACAGCTTTGCTCAGAGGACAGGTACCCACTGAGGTAATCTCAAGCAGGACAGGCTGTGGTACGCTCCATTTTATTCAGCTCCTTATCCCAACCCTTCGCTGAAGCACTGAGGCTCAGGGCCCCCATCAGTGTCACAGTAAGAAGCACTCCGTGCCCCAGGAGTCACCCTGCACATGTTTGACTGCAAGAGAAAGGCTTAAAATTCCAAAGGACAGACAAAAAAAAATTCTGACTAGCAGAACACAGCATAATAGCAACACATCCAAGGTACTAGAAGGCACTAAATACTGCCAATTCAGTAACTACGCACATCTGGTCTGCTATCTCTTTTTTAACCTCAATCCTCACAACACAGGGAGGTTGGGACAAAGAAATGATGAAAATTCTTGAAAAAAGCATTGATAAGAGGAAAATACTTACCCTTCCTCCACTCATTATTTAACACAGAGTATGTCTTTCAGCGTGTCTTTTAAAATGAATAAATAAATGTAGGAACATATCTAGAAAATAGACTTGCAGCCTGTCTAGCACTGAGCACTTCTTGCTGCTGATATTGCAAGTGAAAGAGAAACTGGTATTTCCTGCTGATACTGCAAGTGAAAGAGAGCCTTTTTGGGGTACAATACTCACTCAGATGCTTAGAATCATCCCATGCAAGTGTCTCCTCCTTTTTCTCACCCCTCTGCCTACCGAGACCCCTAGTTTAGGTTTTCTGGAATTAAGTGGTATGAATACATCCTTCCTGCTTCATCCTTTACTGCAATTCCTTTTAACCCTACAGCTGCCCCCTGCCAGCCCTTACGCCTATGGTGAAGTCAAATAGCTCTGTCTGCCCCACTCAGCGAAGAGGAACCTCTCTGCAAGGTTCCCAGCCTGGTAACAAGTTAGAGACAGTTCCTGTGGTTTTGTCAGAAAGCTTCTAAAGGACTACATTTCTGCACCAGAGGAATTAATAGCTCCAAGCTTGTAAAGATTTATACATCTGCCCAAAACGTCAGTAAGTCTGCAGCTATCATACCAGAGATGATGATTAGCACTGTGCACATTAAACAAAGGGGTAGTGAAATCCAATTTGAGTATTTCTGACACGCACGCAAATCCCCACCGCTTTCACCACGTAATAGCTACATGGTTCATTTTATTTTGATTAAAATTAACACATTTCACTGATGACCTTTAAAGCGACGCTTGCTTCCGGCCTCTTCAATGCACCACTGATCTACTACACTCTGTCAGCAAAACAATGATCATTCCTAAGATGCCTGTGAAAAGCTACAGTCTCACCCAGCTCAGTCCATAAAGTTCCCACTGACGTAAGCAATGCAGAGATGCAGAATTTGCATAATCAGCTCATTTGCTGCACTCAGCAACCAGGGACATATTCTGCCGATTCACACCCTCACCAGAAGGTTGCTCTAGTTAAGAGAAAATTTCCACATTGCAATTCAACAGACATGAAGTACATTAGCTGGGTAGCAGCTAAGTAAATAAGCAAATGAAGATGTATGGAAGTTATTATTACCTTTGCTCCACAGACAATGAAAATGACCTTTGTTCAAAGGCTGGTTCAGAATCAGGAGGCAAAACTTCAGGTTTCCTGTAAGATAAATGTTGATACTTATTAGCAAGAATATTGATTTTTTTCCCCTCTTATTTTCTTTATTTTGCCTTTGCCATATTAATTTTAGTCCAGCCACCTCAGAGCAACTCCGCTAATTTCTTTGCTTCTCAGGTTTCATCATTTTCAGACAGAGAAGCTGCCAGAACTTCATTAGACGCCTTTTCCTTGGTAGGGTTTTGCAAAACATTTAATTTATAATTGACTTTTACCCACTGAAGGCCATCCTCAACAGGACCCCACAGCTACCCAGCTCTCTCATTTAATCTCCCACCGGCTGCTGCTGCCTGGATGCAGCATTTACTGGTATTAGCTGTGCCCTGGCCTCTCTGAACAGGGAAGAGCTCCGTGTGGAGCTCTCTCTAATCCAGATCTAATATTCCGCTCTCCTGGTGGATGCAGAACCCTTGCATCCCTGCCGAACCATCAGTGGCTTCTGAGCCCAGGTTTTCACATCATGTAGAAGCTCTGATATTGGGAGATGCTTTACAAATACAGAACGAAAGGCCATGCCCAAGGAGCTTAAAATCAAGACCAGTAAAAGCAAAAGTGAATTTTAGCCTGTGTTAACGAGGTGATACTGCAGACTAAAAATCTCAGCAGATTTACTCAGCAGCTTGAACTGATCCAACAGTCTGAATGGGCTCCTAAAGCCTTCTGCCCTAGCAATATGCCCATTGTGAAAGTCAATAATAAACCTACAAACACAAAAGCCTTAAAATAAAAGGATTTATGATATGGCACACTCTGGTTTCAAAGAATAAATATGTAAATCTTATGATGGTTCCTTGTGCTGGGACTTGGATTATTTCACTTCCTAATTATCTTGCCAATCATATAGGAATACAAGTTTCCCCTGGAGCTTGATATCCTTAGGCAATCAGGTTAATGAAGTATTATTTGGTCATGTGAAGCCACAGTAATTGAAAAAAAGAAAACCTCTATCACTAGAAAGCCGTTGGGGCTTTTGAGCAGATCGAGTATAGCAGGAGGCAGAAGGCTACAGGAGAAACCCTGGCTTAAGCCATATGATGTTACCAGGGAAAATAGAGGTGGTGAAACTCCTGAAGGGGCAGGAACATCTTAGGGTGGGAGAGCATAAGCTTTAAAATCATGAATGGAGGCACTATTCTGCATCTTGCCTTTTGAATGATCTGTGGTTTCTCCACTGACCCGTTATATGCCCCATAACGTTCTTACCCATAACGCAGAAGTAACAAAACTCTTCTCCTTAGTAAGTATTAAGAGAAACACTACTGAAGACCTAGATAATTTTTACTCCAGTAAAAAGTCTACATGTTTACCACAGCCATCTTCTGCATGGTGCTTTCCAAGGCCATCCCTCACCTCTTCCACTTGTATCTTTGCTGACACGGGCCACGCTTCTGTCAAATTCATGTATACAAAGGGGAATAAATTTACTTTGAAAATAAAGGAGGGGTCGAAAGACCAAGTAAACACAGGAGAATGAGAAAAAAAACTTTGTCTTCGCTTCGTCTGAACAGTTTTGCCTTGTCCTTGAACTGCTTGAAGAGAAAGGCAGAAAACAATACATTCAAACTAAGTGCCAATTTCCAGCTGCCTCACAAATATGGGACCTCAGCAGCAGATATCCTAATGATGGTTAAGTGAGAAAGGCTGCCAACTCCTTATATTAAACCTAATCATCTGGTGGTGCCCTCCACTGAAAAGAGCCAGCAAACATCACAGGTTCTTTTATGGATATGATAATACAAATAGACAGAGGTGCTGCTATTCACCATTCCTGCTGGTGAATCACAAAAAAAGGCATTTCTGCATCTGTTTTAGACCCTTAAGCCGTATCAGCCTATAGAAATACCGCAGATTTGTAGCTTTTTTTGCAGATCACAGAATCTTCATGGTCGGAAGGGATCTTTGAGATCATCGAGTCCAACCAAACAAAAAAAACCAGCAAAAAAACACAACCAAACAAAACAAAACAAAACAAAACAAAACCCACAAACAGACACAACCCAACAGTCTTGGGCACTAAAGCATGCCCTGAAGTGCCATGTCTACACGTTTCTGAAATCCCTCCAGGGATGGTGACTCCACCACCTCCCTGGGCAGGCTGTTCCAGTGCCTGACCACCCTCTCAGCAAAGTCATTCTTCCCAATATCTCATCTAAACCTCCCCTGCCCCAACTTCAGACCATTTCCTCTGCTCCTGTCGTTGTTCCCTTGGGAGAAGAGGCCAACCCCCACCTCTCTACACCCTCCTTTCAGGGAGTTGGAGGGGGCAATGAGGTCTCCCCTCAGCCTCCTCTTCTCCAAACTCAACATGCCCAGTTCCCTCAGCCTCTCCTCACAGGACTTGTTCTCCAGACCCCTCCCCAGCTTGGTGGCTCTCCTCTGGACACGCTCCAGCCCCTCAATGTCCTTCCTGTGGTGAGGGGCCCAGAACTGAACCCAGACCTCGAGGTGAGGCCTCACCAGTGCCCAGGACAGAGGCACCATCACTGCCCTGCTCCTGCTGGCCACGCTGGTCCTGACACAGAGTAAGAGGATCAAGAGGAAGACTCTTTTTATGTATTAATACACATTTTTGAAGCCAAGGCCTGGCTGTAGGTGACCACACCAAGAGTCCAGAGGCTGATTTTCAGAGATGACTCTTCCGGGAGCTTCCAGTGAGGCCTGTAAGAGCTACCAGCTCTTACTTGTCCAGTTGTTGGAAAGATGCAAAGAGGCAGATGCCCCCAGCACACACAATTAAGAGTATTTCTTGATGTGCTTTGGGTTGTGGTGGGTTTTTAACCACAGTTACAGGTTGAAAAAGTGGGTAAATGGAAAGAATTGTTTCCCCTGCTTTTAGAAAAGTGAACATTCTAGTCGTTTCAAACCACTGCAATTAATGCATGATAAAATGCTATGATTAATGCTACTAAAATGAGCCTAGATGTCAATATTTAATAGTGCTCGCTGAGTTAATATAAAGCTGCACAAAGGGCTCAGTCCTTGGTAGATGTAAAACAGTAATAAAATTGGGCTGAAATAATTTACAGCTATTTCCCTAAAAACTATTAATAAATTGGAACTTCTGATGGCAAAGACCATGTCAATGGACAGAATATGCAACATCCATCACTCCGAAAAAACCTGATGAGAGCTCACTGTGCCGCTGCTCCGAGCATTCTACTGGCTGTTCATCGGAAAACAAATCTACTTCAAGGCCATTTATCTTTAAAAGCCCTTAACAAATTAGGAAGCATCTATCTCCTGGACTGTCTGCCCATCCATTTTTCACAAAGATAATTAGCACCCTGACCCAACCATTAACAAAACTGTGCTCTGTTTGGGCTAATGGGAGAGAGAATTCTGTAAGCAAGAATTCAGCAGCAAAAATAACTTGTCCCCAGATATGGATGTCTCCACTGAAGAAACTTTTGTTGGCCTTTTGTTAGAGGCAGAACAAGTTGGTCTCTTGCATAGTTTCTTCCATTTTTAGTCTAATTTTCTCTTTCATTATGTACTTTTCTTGCAGCTTTTGCAGACTGAGCAAATTCAGCCATCTGCAGCACAAGCAGAAAAGAATAAATTCCTCTGTCCAAAACCTCTCGCTGATTCTTGATGTTTACATCAACACAGAGAAAGAATGGAGCCAAGTCCCCCACGTAAGTCCTCCTGTAGAGGAATTAGCTCTGCGGTAAGGCCTAATATCTACAGGACAGGAGGACAGAAGGACTCCTAGAGGAAATTTTTACTTGCATTCAGGGAACCAAATTTGATCATCCCCAGTCTTACCTGCTCGTTTTTCCATTTGCTGTTTATAAACCTTGCAGACTTACAGGCATAACTTACAGATGCACAAATACATCAACAGCCAGTTCTATGCAAAAATATAACTAAAAAAACCCACTTTTAGCAGACTTGGAAAAATCCTAGCCTTTGGATAAATCTCAGTCATTTTAATCCTGCTGGAATGGACAGAGACGCATTTCCTTACTTTCTTAGGTTCCAAATCAATCAACAGGCCCAACAAGTTCCCCCGGGACCATCAGTGAATAACCTCAGCGTTTCTGAAAAGTTTTTCCTCTCTCTGCTTTCCAACTTTTATTTCGCTGCGCTTCCTTGATGAAGCTTTTCTCATGGTTGCTTAGAAGGGACTTTAATCAAGGTGCTGCAAACATCTCTGACAGCCTACGCAATGCCTTCCTACCCCATTTTAATGCACCCAGAAGAATTCCAATATATTTTAGAGCACACACTTGCTATTCTAAAAGCCTTCTCGGCTTCTCCCTGTCATACTATACTCATCTAGCTATTCTATAAATATTTATAATGTCATTATGCATTTTTTTATTGATTTCCCCATGTCACATGCCAGTCTTCAGGCTGTATGTCTGTCACAAAGCATATGCAAAAGGCAGACATATATATTTTTAAAGACAACCTTTTCTCTGGTAGCCAACATAATAATATATGCCCCTTCTTTGTTTCCTTTCAGTGTCAGAATAATATTGCTAGAAGTTTTTCTGTATACTCTGAGGTTCCTGGCTATGGAATTTTCCAAGGGGGCAAAAAGCTTTCATTGTTATGAATAAGAGGGCCTTTGGGAAAGATGACTGCTATTCCCAGTCTTTTTGGAAGGACGTGAGCGGTGACATGCAATGGGGGGATACGCCGTGCTAAGACAGCGGCATGCCTCGAGGTGCTCACAAAGTGTGACTCCAAAGGCAGAGCTTCAACAACAGAGAGGGGCTTCCACTAAACAATTCGTGTTTGGGTTTGTTTGCTATTTGTGTTTTCCTGCTCCCCTGAAGAGGAGTCATTCCCTTCCTTTCCCAGTGATCTATCAAGCATCTTCCACAAAGAGGCAGGTTTCATAGAAAGGAAGGAGGAGGAAAGAGGCAGCTAGTATGGGGACAGAGGGATTTTATCATTAGTAAAGTATTTCATTAATCTAGCAAGTTGGAAGTTGGTTGTAAATTTTGAGACATTTTCTGTACCGGTAGAAACAC